TTCTGTAACTCATTGATTCAACAGGAGCTGAGAATATCTGCCCACCTATAATTCACGGGTTTGCTGTAATGATCGAACGCTACAAAAGAGAGGAACGCTATTAGAAAAAAATGAAAAGACAGTATATGAAGGAGATGCTGTCATCATCTTTCCCTGTAGAGGCATCCCAGGGGACATGTAAAGACAGCCAGCCTTCTGTATTTTAATCTTATCTCTCCAACAGTAAAGTAAACTCACTGTCAACTGCATCTTGCATTCTGCCTTCCTGCACTTGTTACCTGGTAACTGGGACTGAAAACCAGCCCTTCCACCTATTAAATTTTGGAGGATCACAATGTGCTCAAGCAACACCTGAGTCTGGACTGAAAAGTTACCAAAGACCTCCAGGGTCACACTGCACAGTTCTACGTTCCCCTCTCAATAAAACGCGCAGGTCCAGCAGAGCTGGAAGCTTGCTGGATACAGAGCGAGACTCCCACGGTGTTAGAACTGGGCTCCACCTAGCAGTCACGCACCACCTGACTGATCTGTGCACAGGCTGCAAGCTCCCCCGCTCACTCCATTAGGCTCTGCGGCACAACGCAGTCACATATCAGGACCTGACACGCTCACGACTGCCCACTTCTGAGACCAGTGGACTGGCCTTCAGGAAACCTGGCCAGTTCTTCTGACCAGCCATCCCAGATGACCACACGCATTCCAGGCCACCACCTTCCTGGAAACTTATTCATCCTCTCACCTCTCTGCTCCTGCAGCACTTTTACGGACCCACTGACAGTCACTGCTATGTCGTCATCAGTCATTTGTGACTGGCAACTCCTTAAGGATGAGGGACACAGCTTACTCATTGTCATGCCTGGTGAGGAGCAGGTATAATAGATGTTTTTTTGTTTTTGTTTTTTAGGCAAGGCAACCCTTGGTTGACCTCACAGACTGCAAGGATCTTGTCAGCTTACAATCCCTTCTTTTTTATTTTTTATGCCTATAGCACCTGGTCTTCTTAGGTGGTCTCTCATCCAAGTACTAACCAGGCCCGACCCTGCTTAGCTTCTGAGGTCAGACGGGATCGGGCTTGTTCAGGGTAGCGTGGCCATAGACAATGGATGTTTTTTTAAATAAAGGAAGAAGCAGAGGGGAAAAGACTTGTATACAAGAGATGCTACAGTGCAGGACAGTGGTTCTCTGCTGCGGCAACTCTGTCCTCCAAAGAACATTTGGCAATGTCTTAAAACATTGTTAGCTGTCACAACAGTGGGGATGCTACTGTCCTCAAATGCGCAGAGGCCAGGGATACTAAGTTTCCTACAAGGCACGGGACAGCCCCACAACAAAGAATTACCTGGCCCAACACGTTGACAGTGCCAAGGCTGGGAAGCCCGGCTGTGGTGGGTGCCAGGAGGGGCATGACGCCTTCCTTCCAGGATAACATATAAATGTTTACACTTCTCACAAATAATCCCCATTATCTCCTTGAATTCTTTCATCGAGATAATTATTTTTGTTAACCACAATTAACAGATAAAGAAATGACGCAGTAAAGGACTAGCCTGTGATTAGCCCAACATTTGGTGGCAGAGCCTGGACTAGAATCCAGGTGTTCTGAGCTGGCTCAGTATTCTCCCCTCTTTCTTTACTGGGAGGAAGATTTGGTCCTGAAGGCAGAGGAAGGTCTTAGAAAAATGAGATATTAGGACCAAAAAGTCCCTTTCGAAGTCCCCAGAGTCTTCTTTTGGGGAGTGGAGGCCTAGCAAGAGAAAAGCACACGGCGGGCTCCAAGTTCCGATGACTGAACCGTCCAAGGTCACAACTGGTGGGGGCCCGAGCTCGGACCCAATGATCTCTTTCCTCTCCTGCTCCTGCCCTTCACACATAATCTACATCTTTCACACATGCTGCTCTTCTAACAGCCTCTTTTCTTCTGGAGTCAGCTGGTAAACAGATGCCACACTGGGGGGCGGGGGATCGGGAGTCCTAAGCGTGTCTCGGAAATTTGAAGGGAGGGAAAAGAGTGAACAATCAGCACGCTTCACAGAGAGCTGACTCAATACTGTCTCCCCAACCTTTTCCGGCACTAGGCCCACCTGAGCGCAAGTCAAGCTTTATCAAATGACAGGAATGGCAGAAGGCAGTTCAGATATTTCAGATATTCATTCTGAGAGTCAGAGTTGCCAAAATAAATTATTTCACAGAAAGGAACTATGCAAGGGCCCCAAAGCACGTCAGAAAGATGGAAAGAACGTGCTTTAAAAAAATTTTAAATTATCTCTCTTCTGGCCAGAGGACATAGCATGCTAGAGGTTCGGGGTAAGGGAAGAAGAGGCCGCAGAGATGAAAGACTATTCTCAAGGCTCAGGGCAGTATTCCAGGCAAGAAATGAAGAGTCTAAAACAAGGTGATTACAGAAGGAAGAGAAAAGGGAGACCATTGTGAGACATTTTCAAGGAGACTCCATGGGACTGACAATGACTGGACACTGGGGAGGAAGGAAGAACGAAGAATCCAGTGTGGGAGCCGCTAGCCACCTATGGGTGTTTGACTGTAACTGAAATGAAATTAAGAACTTAGTTTCTCGATCACACTAGCCACAATTCCAAGCACTCAGTAGCCACGCGCTGGACTAGCAGTCATCGCGCTGGACCATGCGGATTATACGACAGTTCCATCGTCACCCAAAGTTCTGTTGAACAGCACAATTCCAGCGTGACTCTCAGGTTTCTAGTTTGGTGGGTGGATGAGCTGTCAGGAAATGGTTATGCCATTTAATCCAACACAGACCAAATCCAGAGGAACTATTTTGGGGTGAGGAGGTGAGGAGTCTGGTTTCAGACGGGGAGAATGGGACATGGCCAGTGAAGTTGCAGCTGGCCTGCAAAAATAATGGTCTGGAATTTGGCAGAAACCAGAGACAGACAAAAATATTTAAGCATCACTGCTATGTAGATTTGGGTGAAATCATGTAAGTACGTATAGAAGTGGAAGAAAGTTTTCAGGGTAGGGGTAGAGGTAGCATTTGGATCAGAGTGGGCTGAGGGGTGAGGGGAAGTGAGCAAGTGTGGGGGACTCTGGAAGCTGGGCAGTAGAGGGGATGTGAGGAACAGGACCACTCAGCACATCATTTGAGGTCAAGTTTCCTCACAGCAGGAAGCCTTCCCTGACCACTGCAGCGATCCTCCCATGTCTGTATTGACCACGTTCTGCGAGATGCGCTCACGTCTGCATTAGCAGCACAATTTTATGTGGTTCTCTACCGGATTCGAGTGTGCGCTATCCTCAGCACCACTGCAAGCAACATGGGATGGGGGAACTGTATCTTCTCAGCCTCTTGAATCCTCCTGGGCAGCAGACAGGTGGCCTTGGTAAATGTCTGTGGGCTTGTATTTGGCACATAAACCATTCGGGGAGGATAAGACCA